CTATTTATTTAAATACGCCACACAATGTTTGAATTATAGGGCTTTATTTTCTAGCGGCGGACGTTTACATCTCAAGGTCGCACACACCATCAGAAATAGGGGTTTTCTATCGCATTTTCGACAATACAAGCACGTTTGATATTATATATGAAATTTCGAGCCATGTTAAAGGATTAGTTTTAAAGGCAAACTCAAAAACATTTTAAGGAAAAAATATTGCACAATCTGTATATGGCCGAATGTGCCCCACTTTAAAATGCCGAATGTACCCCGAATGTACTTTTTATAGTTTTTCCATTTTTTTCGATCAGATTTGTAAAAACATGATATTTTTAAATATTTTTATAATAATACACATCGTAGTTAACCACTTTTTAATAATATTGTCTTAAAAATTTTAAAAGTTTTATACACGAAATACTTACGAAATGGAATTGAAATATTACAGAAACATCTATAAAAATACAAAAACCCATGTATCTAAATAAGCTTATTAGCTATAAATTTCAAACTTTGTGTCAGTTATTTATTTCGATATTCGATACCTATGTATCGAAACTAGTGATGTACGGTGGGAGCTTCATATCGAAAACGCGATTGCCGAAGGTGCCCCGATGCCGAAGGTGCCCCGATGCCGAAGGTGCCCCAGTCTCTCCTATAGGCCACAAGCCGAAAATCACAACCCACAGTGAAGGGAACCTGGACAAGTAATTAGAAGAGATGTACTGAATATTGGGATATTCGGAAAATATGTCAGTGTAAGGAAGATGTGCTGTTGATCTCTAATCGGTCAAGAGGGTGAAAATATCACGAAATATTGACCAGGCTCGAAATAAACATACGCAACTGCTCCGCTCACTGGTTTTTTATACATTATCATGAAGGCGTGGATTTTTTAAAAATTATTTGATTATTATTTGTTATTTTGCTTTGAAATGTTTTGTGTTAAAAGAATTATTCTTTTGCACCTGCAGCTATTTTTAGATTATTTTCCCCTTTTGATTTGAGTTAATTGTTTCAAACACCACGCGCAAGGTCAATGCATTAATTTTGAAACAAACATAGTTATTTATTTTCAAATTATCGTTTTAATTTGTTTTATATTTCTTAGAAGTAATCGATTATTCAAGAGTAAAGCTTAATTCACAAATTCCTATTTATTCAAAAAAAATATTTATTATTCATTGATACAGCAACGAAGTCCAATTGATAAACCAACAAAAACGAATGTCACAACTGTGTGTGATGGGGATTCACCGCTTCGTTTTCATGTTGAAGCGTGTGGTTTTGATATGTCTTTTGACAAATTCCAACAAACAAACATTCAAACAATTCTTGGAAATCGTATTTGCATTTTAACCAAAAAAACTAAAATAGTTATCAATGCTAATGAACATAAATCGTAATTTTTTTCTTTTAATTTTTTTCGTTTTTATTTCCTTTTCCATTTTGGAGTTTGAAAAGGCGTATTCGTTTGACTAAATAAAAGTAGCAACAAAAATATACTAATTATAGTCACTAATGACAAGTGTGGAATTTCAACACAAAACTGTTGGTGTGAAAAAAAAATTGAAAAAAAATTATATGGCTTAATTTTAATAATGACCGAAAATATTCATTAATTTGCTACATCTCCAGTTTAGCCCATTTACATACCTTTACTCAAAAAAATATATCAGAATTAGCAGGTATTAAAAGAAAACATTAATATGACCATGAACAAGCATGATATATAAATATTATTACCAAATAGTCGGGGGTTCACCAAATCACTTCGAGATGCGAACAAACAAACCAGTTTGTTTTACATTCCAAAAACAATGTGGGGTATCAGTTTGGTTTAAAACGACCTAGGCCTAAAGAAGAATTGAATCGTTTCTTGGAAACCATAAACCATACTTATTAAATTAAACCGATACAATAAAATCTGCATGTGATCTTCTTCAGCTAGCGCGTCAAGTTGGCTGGTATATGTATGTTTGTTGTAGTAATTAATATGAGTATTATAAATCACCTTCAAATCTGGCATGACAAATCTGTTAATATTATAATCAATCAATTTGATTGTTTATGCCAAGAGTAGGCCCCCAATTAAATTTGACGAATTGTAACAAAAAATATTTTTTCAAGTTTAAATTTATTTAAGGCAAGTTTTTTTTACATGCTCTAAATGTAGACATGGATTTTGAAAAAAGAAAAAAAACATATGTTTTCCAAGCTCTATCCAAAGGCGTGGATTTTTTACAAATATTTTCAAGCTTAACAATAAGCATAGACTTAAAAAATATTTTTTTTTATTTTACAAGAGCCATGTATGTTTTTTAATATTTACACCCAACACAACTATGATGTCAGGTTATTATAGCTTTGTGCAGCCCCAAAAGTTTGTAACGCTGCGAAATATTGGTCCTAGACCTTCAAGTATACCGATCGTCATATCTCGACTGTCTGAGTCGATCTAGACATGTGTGTCCGTCCGTTCGTCTGTCCATTATAATTTGTTAACACGATACAGGCCACAGTTATGGACCAATCTTCACGAAATTTTGCATGTAGGATGGGTTCGGCCCAATGAAGACCCATTTTGTTTTTGATAAAGATCGGTTAATATTTAGGGGATGAAATGGGTCAAAAACTTAATTTTTGTCGGTTTTGCTGGTCGCTCCAGAGGCCGCAATTATCGCAGCGTTACAAACTCTTGGGGCTGCACAAAGCTATAATACCTTGACAAAATAGTTGTGTAGGGTATAAAAATGACAAAATTTATATTCTATGACGTATATATTTACCCCTGAAGGACATAGACCCGAGAAGTTGATAGTATATCAGATAACAAGTTTGGGATGAAGAGGACCGAAAACTTAAGTTTTGTGTTTTTTCGAGTCGATCTATAGGCAACAATTGAAACCCGAACATCACAACACAAGCCACGAAGAAGAAAATATTTGTAATACTTCTTGACCTTTAGTCGGTCGCGAAATATTGCCCAAGCTCAGAATATAGAATCACACAAAGTTAGATTTTCGTGTAAGTTGTGTAGGGTATAATTTGGTCGGCCTCGTCCGACTATACTGCTCCGCTCACTGGTTTAAAATATATTTTTAGGCCCTACATATGGCGTAGATTAAACATTTTTTTAGGATTGGCGTGGATTTTTTTAAAATATTTTTTAAAGCTCTAAATATTGATTTCCTACAAATATTTTTATACCCTTCACCACACTGTGGTACAGGGTATTATGTCTTTGTGCATATGTTTGTAACAGGCAAAAAAAAATCGAGATAGACCCATGGTTCCTTTTGAGGATATGCATAGAATCACTTTCTGAGTCGATTTATGCATGTCCGTCTGTCCGTCAGTCCATGTATTTTTGTTAACAAAGTATAGGTCGCATTTGTGATCCGATTTGAATGAAATTTGGCACAGTTCACTTATTTTGCCCAAGGACGAACGCTATTGAAATTGGGAAAAATCGGTTCAGATTTAGATATAGCTCCCATATATATTTTCGTCCGATTTTAGGTAAATAGTGCACCAAAGTCCTTATATATCCTTCGATTTGCACGAAATTTGACATATCATTCTGAATTAAGCCCAGAACAATGTGTGTCAAGTTTCCTGAAAATCGGCCCAGATTTAGATATAGCTCACATATATATTTTCGTCCGATTTTAGGTAAATAGTGCACCAAAGTCCTTATATATCCTTCGATTTGCACGAAATTTGGCATATCATTCTGAATTAAGCCCAGAACAATGTGTGTTAAATTTCGTGAAAATCGGTGCAGATTTAGATATAGCTCCCATATATATTTTCGTCCGATTTTATGTAAATAGTGCACTAAAGTCCTTATATATCCTTTGATTTGCACGAAATTTGGCATAGCATTCTGAATTAAGCCTAGAACAATGTGTGTTAAATTTCGTGAAAATCGGTGCAGATTTAGATATAGCTCCCATATATATTTTCGTCCGATTTTAGGTAAATGGGGCACTAAAGTCCCTATATATCCTTAAATTTGTACGAAATTTGGATTTGTGAGTAAATGAAGAACTCAAAATGTGGTTTTTCCCGAATTAGCTGGAATTCATATAACGGCACGAAAATTATACTATTTTCCGAATGCAAAAGAACATACTGAAATAAGTGTAACCTAACATGTGACAAGTTTCGATGAAATCGGTTTAGATTTCGATATTTTGCTTTAAATTTAATTACATAATTTTGTCCCTTTGTAAGAAGCAACTCTATATCTGACCAAAATTTAGTATAGGTTGCAGAATGATATGTGTAATTTTATGTTAATTGTCCTTCAAAAATGCGACGTCTGTTAGGATTCAATCTGTTGGATATACCCAAAGGGGGGAAGGGTATCATATAGTCGGCCCCGTCCGACTTTACTACTTTCCTTACTGGTTTAAGCCCTAAATATAGCCATAGACTTTTTAAAAAAATTTTTCAAGTTCTAAGTATATGCGTTGGATTTCTTACAAATATTTTTTTAAGATCCAAACGCATGTATAATATCCTTTTCATAAAAGATCAAAAATTTATGCAAGCTATAAAAAATGGTTTTGGCACGTGAAGGTTGAACACTTTTCGATTATATAAAAGATTTTCGAGATACACAATTTATTTCTTTATTTAATTGATTTATTTATATTTTCCCCTTCTTCTTCTCCTCCTTCTTTAAGATACCAATTTCGCATTGGATCCCTCGGAAATTGCTAGACAAAATCAAATTACCCAACAGCTGTTGTCGACATATTTGCAGACACGTTTGGGCCTAGGTGTTGGCGTAACACAAAAAGTGCCAACAATTGCTGAAATTTTGCCCAAGGCCATACTTACAACCACAACCAGCACAACGACAACCACAACAACAGCAAAACCCCGTTATAGCAAATCGCTAAAACGACCAAGGCCAAGAGGATTTTCAGTGTCATCATCCTCCAAGCGAGGAGGTGGTTCCACAAAAACAAATTATCAACGTAAAACCTATGGCAGCACCAGTCAAAGGAAAACTCCCAATTCTTTGCAAGAATTACTCAAATACCGAGGTTATAGCCGGCTACAGGCACAGAAACAACAAGAACAACAGCAACAGCCAGAAGATGACTACGATGAAGATGATGTAGAATCTGAATCAGCGGAGGAAGAGGAGGAGGATTCCCAGGCAGATGCTGAAAATGATTACGGTGATGGTGAACCTGAAGATGAACCCGCCGCTGATGAAGAAGACAATACCAATAACAAAACATTAAATTATAAACGTCCTTCACGACAACGTTACGATCCATATGACGATCGCGATGACTACGACGAATATCGTTCACAATACACACGTCCCCGTTATCGTTCACAGCAACTGCAACAACAACGTTATCGTTACCCTCATCATCGCCACTACGACGATGATATTGACCAGGATGGTCAGGAGGCATTGCAGAGTGTTGAATCGGAACAGCATGATCTCTTTGCTCGCGATCCAAGTGAAAATGAAATTGACAGCGGTAAGTCATTGAAATTCCGAAACAATAGTCATGTGGAGAAAACCAGTTTAAGTATTAAGATAAGAAAAACAACAACAACAGATAATACAAAAGCAACAGATACGCACCTACTGCTCTACGCTAATATTGAAGCGGCAAATTTTTATGCATAACCGATGCGATCGGTTTTGGTTGATTTTATGTTTTGCGATTTGCTTCAGGCATTTATTTTCGTCAGCGTTTCGGTTATTGTAGGGTTCTCCTTATTACGTGGAATCGCTACCTATCAAGGTGGCGAACATTTGATTTTTTTTAAATATTTTAAGGGCGAGCGATTTTTTGTAATATTTATAAAGGATTTTTATAAATGTCAATTTTCCAAAGGATCTCTTCGTAAACGGGGATTTTAATACCCTTCAGCACACTGTGGTACAGGGTATTATGTCTTTGTGCATATGTATGTAACAGGCAAAAATAATCGAGATAGACCCATGGTTCCTTTTGAGAATATGCATAGAATCACTTTCTGAGTCGATTTATGCATGTCCGTCCGTCCGGCTATCCATGTTAAATTGTCGCAGTTTTGATTCGAATTGGATGGAATTTGGCACAGCTCATTTATTTGGCCCAAGGAGGAAACCTATTGAAATTGGGAAAAATCGGTTTAGATATAGCTGCCATATATATTTTCTAAGGTGCACCAAAGTGGCCATATATCTTTCGATTTGCACGAAATTTGACACAGCGTACTTAATTGAGTCTACAATGATGAGTGGTGAGTTTCGGAAAAATCGGTTCAGATTTCGATATAGCTCCCACATATATATATATATTCGTCCGATTTTATGTAAATGGTGCACCAATGTCCCTATATATCCTTCGATTTGCACGAAATTTGTCATAACGTAATTAATTGAGTTCAAAATGATAAGTGCTAAATTTCGGGAAAATCGGTTCAAATTAAGATATAGCTCCCATATATATTTTCGTCCGATTTAATGTAAATGGTGCACCAACGTCCCTATATGTCTTCCGATGTGCACGAAATTTGGCACAGCGTAATAAATTAGGTATAGAATGATGTGTGTTAAGTTTCCTGAAAATCGGTTCAGATTTAGATATAGTTCCCATATATATTTTCGTCCGATTTCATGTAAATGGTCCACCAAAGTCCTTATATATCTTTCGATTTGCACGAAATTTGGCACAGCGTAATGGATTAGGTCTGGAATGATGTGTGTTAAGTTTCCTGAAATTCATTTCAGATTCAGATATAGCTCCCTTATATATATTCATCCGATTTAATGTAAATGGTCCACCAAAGTCCCTATATGTCTTCCGATTTCCACGAAATTTGGCACACCGTATGGAATTAGGCCTAGAATGATGTGTGTTAAGTTTCCTTAAAATCGGTTCAGATTTAGATATTGCTCCCATATATATTTTTGTCCGATTTAATGTAAATGGTCTACCAAAGTCCCTATATATTTTTCGATTTGCGCGTAATTTGGCACAGCGTAATGAATTAGGTCTAGAATGACGTGTGTTAAGTTTCCTGAAAATCGGTTCAGATTTAGATATAGCTTCTATATCTGACCAAATGAAAAATTTAGTATCGGTTGCAGAATGGCATGTTTATGGATCCAATTTCATTTTACTGGTCCTTTAAAAATGCGACGTCTGTTAGGATTCATCTGTTGAATATACCAAAGTGGTGATGGGTATCATATGGTCGGCCCCGTCCTACTATACTTCTCCGCTCACTGGTTTTTTAATTATTATTAGGGGTATATAGGTTGAGTCTTTTTTCTATTTTAGGCGATATCTTTGGCATGAATATTTTTAGTTGAAAAAAATATTGTTTTGTTGTTTTTGTTAACCTGTGATGTATTATTTTTCTTGTTTGGATTTGGTTCGGCTCAAGGTTAAATAAAATTCTGTATAATGATTTCTGATTTTTTATTTTTATTTTCCAATATTTCGAGTGTCTTCGACAGTCATCTTCAGGGAAATAGTTTTGAGAGAAGCTACAGGTTTGTTACACCGTCTATTTATTTAACATTGAGCCGAACCAAATCCAAACAAGAAAAATGAAAAAAATATATTTTTAAAAAATCCACGTCAATTGTTTTGAATGTCGGTTTATGCAGGGCATCTTATTGTCGCCTCCACTCAAATTCTTACCAGTTTGTTTTTTCATCGTTTCATCTTGATGCTATAGGAGGGCTCATAAACCGGAAAATTACCTTTCATCTTAGTATGACATGTTAATGATGGTGTGGCTCTTAACTTGTCTGAAGTTTACATTGTTGTCTTGGTCAGTTATTTGGACAAGTTTGTTTGCATTTCAATTTTAAGTTTCGCTTCTCGCTTTTGTTGTTGCTGTTTTTGTTTGCATAGTTGTGTTTTTATAATGTATTGCGTATTATTGATTCTTCAGTGTAGTATCGTAGAATCAATTTAAAAGAACTGAATTTTTGTTGTCTTGCACAATGATTTCATTACATCTGTTGCTGTGTCTCTGCTTTATTGGGGAGTTGTTAATTAATAAATTTTAGTTTTGATTTTCGCCCCAAGAAGGGCCATTCGCCGACCTTCAATAACGGCATTGTGATTAAAAATGAATTCCATACTGGCATTCACCGTGATATGGATGATTAATGATTACAGCTGTAAAGTGTGTAACAGATTTGTAAAAAAATACAAAATAATTATTGGAAACCACATCGATTCAAAATGTCGAGGAGGATTGTAGTGGGAACCTGTCATGAAATAAATTCCATTAACGGTCACGCAATACAGAATGACAAGTGCAAAAACCTCGTAGAATTAAATTGGCTACTCAAGGACATTTTGGGGTTTGTCCTGTTAAAAGGGGTGCTTTGTCGAGATTCTTTTGTGTTAAATTAAACATGCATTATTCGGAACTGTTGCTAAGAGAAATTTTCCAATGAAAACACGTCCGTTGAGTTAAAACAAATCCACGCCTATGGATACAGTAATTTTAAAAACTGTATCCATAGGCGTGGATTTTTATACCCTTCACCACACTGTGGTACAGGATATTATGCCTTTGCGCATATGTTTGTAACAGGCAAAAGGAAACGAGATAGACACATGGTTCCTTTTGAGAATATGCATAGAATCACTTTCTGAGTCGATTTATGCATGTCCATCTGTCCGTCCATGTTTTTTTGTGAAGAAAGTACAGGTCGCATTTATGATCCGATTTGGATGAAATTTGGCATAGGTCACTTATTTGGCCCAATGACGAACCCTATTGAAATTGGGAAAAATCGGTTCAAATTTAAATATAGCTCCCATACATTAATTCGTCCGATTTAAGGTAAATGTTGCATCAAAGTCCCTATATATATTTCGATTTGCACGAAATTTGGCACAGCGTAATGAATTAAGCCTAGAATGATGTGTGTTCAGTTTCCTGAAAATCCGTTTAGATTTAGATATAGCTCCCATATATATTTTCGTCCGATTTAATGAAAATGGTGCAACAAAGTCAATATATATATATTTCGATTTGCACGGCATAGCGTAATTAGGTCTAGAATGATGTGTGTTAAGTTTCGTGAAAATCGGTTCAGGTTTAGATATAGCTCCTATATATCTTTTCTTCGGATTTTATATAAATTGTGCTCTAAAGACCCAAAGTTTGTCCGATTGCCACGCTATTTTGTACAATGAACTGTAGTTAATATAATTCAATCTCTGGCAAGTATCATTAAAATCGGTTCAGATTTTGATATATATATATATATATATATATATATATCTCAAAATCTCATATATATATATATATATATATTGATTTACATAATTTTATCCAATTGTAAAAAGCAACCTATATCTGACCAAATGAAAAATTTAGTATAGGTTGCAAAATGATAGGTTTATGGATCCAATTTCATTTTACTGGTCATTTACAAATACGACAAAAAAATGGATTCATATATTGATTATACCAAAAATGATGAAGGGCATCATATAGTCGGCCCCGTCTGACTTTACTACTCTCCTTATTGGTTTAAAATATTTTTATAGCATCAAACACCTGCGGAGATTTTTATTTACTCCTGAAGGATATAGAGCCGAGAATTTGATAATATATCCAAGTATACCGATCTTCATATTTCGACTAAGTATACCGATCGTCATATCTCGACTAACTGAGCCGATCAAGACAAGTGTGTCCGTCCGTCTATCCATTATAATTTGTAAACACGATACAGGCCACAGTTATGGACCAATCTTCAAGAAATTTTGCACGTAGAATGGGTTATGGCCATTGAAGACCCCTATTGTTTTTGGTAAAGATCGGTTAATAAAATGGACCGAAAACTTAATTTTTGCGGGTTTTTCTGGTCGGTCCAGAGGCCACAATTATGGCCCAAACATCGCGAAATTGAGACATGGAAAAGGGGATCGTGCCAAAGAATAAGCATGCCTGTTTTCGTAAAGATCGGTCAATATTTAGCGGGCCAAATGGACCTTAACTTTTGTGTGAAAAATGACAACATCTGTATTCTATGAGGTATATATTTACTCCTGAAGGTCACAGACCCGAGAAGTTGATAGCATATCCAAGAGGATTGGTTGCCCTTTAAATTGATGCCAATTAAATCGTATGTACTCGGATATGGGAGTTACACTTAAATATTTACATGTACTTACGTATTCATATATTATTTAGTAAGCCATTACCACACAAGAGAGAGGAAATATAGAGCTGATCGCTTTGAAATCTTCCATGAGGATCCAGGTATGGTCAAGGAAAACGCCTATAATTTTCGGTAATGATCAGATAATAATTTTGAGCTGAAGTGAACCGAAAAGTTATTTTTTTGTGTTTTTTCAAGTTGATCTGTAGCCCACAATTGAAAGCCGAATATCACAACACAACCCCTGTAATGAATACCCCTGTAATGAATATTTGTTGATCTCTAGTCGGCCAAGGGTGGCAAATATCGCGAAATATATTCTCAATCTCAGAATATAGAACCACAGGAAATTAGATTTTCGTGGAAGTTCTGTAGAGTATCCTATGGTCGGCCCCATCCGACTATACTGCTCCGCTCATTGGTTTTTTTTTATACCCTCCACCATAGTATGGAGGGTATATTAATTTTTTCATTCCGTTTGTAACTCACCGAAATAT